CCGGGGCCCCCACGGCGCCCCGCTCCTGCCCAGCCCCCCTCCAAGGGCGCCCCCCCCCAAGGGCGCCCCCGGGGTGCTGCGGGGCTCGGGGTGCTGGGCGGCCCCCCCGGCCCGCGCTCGTGCGGCGGCTGCAGAGACGGAGCTGAGGGGGGAGGTCTGTGCCCCCCCCCCAGCCCCGCAGCCCTGCGTGGGCACCGTGGGGGCCTGGTGCCCGTGGCCGTTCCGTGTCCTCCGCCATGCCCAGCTCCAGGTGCCTCCTTGTCCCACACGAAGGACACAGGGCAAATGAAGGGCCCGGCCACCCCGTTTGCCATGTCCCCAGTGAGGGAACCTTGTGGGGGGGGTCGGCTGTGGCCCAGGGGACAGCGAGGGCTGGACGGAGCGCGGTGGCACCAGCAGCTCACAAGGACGGGGAGGGCAGGAGGCCCGGCTGCTTGAGGAACCGCACAGGAACGCAGCACAGAGCCAGTCCCTGCCCCAAGGGCTTCCGATCCAGGTGTTAATTAGCAGTAACGATGGTTCCCTCATCCCGCACCTGCAGGAAGCTCATTCAGCCCCGTGGGGAGACAAGAACAGTGGCCCCACAGCGGGAGGTGACAGTCCCCGACTTGCAGCCGAGGCCGCCCCAGTCTCACAGGCGCCGCGTTCACTGCGGGGGCTCCGATGCCGGGGGCCCACAGGGCTCCCGGGGCTCCACAACAGCCCGTGCAGCAGCCCGGCCGCCTGGCCTGGCCCTTTCCAAAGCAGCCTCCGCTACTGCCGGCCCCAGATGGCAGGAAACAGTGCGATGGCAAGTGAAAAATGTGCAACGCTGCAGCCCTTCTGCTCGCTGCACTCACAGATGGGCACGCAGGAGCGGGCACACAGACTGGCATGCACACAGACGTGCACACAGACACGCACACACACAGACTTGCGCTGTGATTCTGTGTGCACAGACGGGGGTCTGCACCCCGCGGCACACGCACGGAYACGCGCACAGCTCCACGAGTGCACACACTGGTGCGGCCCATGCACAGGCGCACACACGTCCATGGGCACCCGTGTGCATGCACATGCATGTGCGGGGGCAGCCTCCTCCCTTCCTGTGCCCGCRGGTGACCGCAGCTTTGGTGGCGGTGGCAGGAAGTGGTGGTGACCTCTGCACGAACAAGGTGCAGGGCTGGGGCACAGACCGGGCAGCTCCAGCCCGTGCCGCAGCCCCTCGGCTCCATGGGGACGGGGCTGTGGCCACACTCGCTGCTGCTGCGGCAGGGTCCCAGCGCGGGGTGCACAACCCCGGGCTGTGTAACCTCCCCAGGGTGGGCTCTGCATGTGCCAGCTCGCCTGGGAAGCCACAGCCCCGGCCTGCATCTCCCCATCCCTGGCTCCCTCCATCCTTCTCTCCCTGTATCCCCTCCTCTCTGCTTCTGTGCCCCCTTCCCTCCATCCCTGTGTCCATCTGCCCCGGTATCCACGCATCTGCCTGTATCCCTCCATCTCTGCGTCCCTCCATCCATCTGCCCCGATTCCCTTCATCCCTCCATCCTTCTGTCCCCGCATCCCCACATCCATCTGTGCCTCTGTCCCCACATCCCTGCCTCCCTCCGCGCGCCCCCCGCGCCGGCGGTTCCCAGGGTGGCCCCGGCGCTGGGGTCGCCCCCTGCATTCAGGGCTGCGCGGAGAGCCTGGTGCCGGCGCGGTTCCCACCGCGGCTATCAAAGGCGCTAATTAGCCCCCATCTGGCGGCGGCGGCCCCCGCGCGGGGCGGCGCGGGGGACATTGTGCGCAGGAATGCCTTTCAGCGCCGCCGCCGCAGCTGCACCGCCAACAATGCGCTGCCGCCGGCCCCGCCGCCCCCGGCCGCTCGGCGCGAATTAGCCAGATGTCAAAGCTCRGGGGCGCGGGGCCGAGAGGTCGGGGTGGCCCCCGGGCCGGCGGCCGCCCCGGCGTGCGGCACCGGGCAGCTCCCGCGCGGCCGCATCGCCCCGGCCCCGCGCAGGGCCCGCCGGAGAGGGCGGCCGGGCTGGGGACACCAGGGTGGCCCAGGGCCCCTCGTGCCCCTCGCGCCGGGGAGAGCCACAAGGCAGGAGTGGGAAGGCAGCGTGTGGCTGCGGGACGCACGGCTTCATTTCCATGTCAATTCTGGGAACGGGCCGCGCGGCGCGGGAACGCCGGCCCCAGCCATATGGTGCTCGCCAGGGCTGGGCCGCCCGCCCGGCAGCTCCCGGCTCCTTTGTGCGGCACTGAGGTTGTCCCGGCRCCCCGGTCGGGCACCCCGGCTCCCCCCGGCTCCGCCACCGCCCCGCGCGGGCGCCGCTGCAGATGTGACCCAGGGCCGGTGGCTCCTGCGGCGCAGCTGGAGCCAGGACGGGGCCGGAGAGCCCTGGCGCCTTCCCCTCCCTCCTCCCGCCTTCCCGTCCCGCGGCTCCATCCGCTGCAGCCCAGACCGGCTGGAGCCGCGCGGCCCTTCCTGGGATTTATTCCAGCTTCCTGCCCCTCCTCGCCGGCACTCGCGGGCTGGGGCCACTCCGGCTGCTTCCTCTCGCCGTTCGCTGCCTGCGCCACACGGGCCGGCGCCACCAGCTGCGCCCGGCCCTGCTCCCCCGGTGCCCATCCCGCTGCCCCGGCCTTCCCGGAGCCCTTGGGGGCTGCGGCGCAGGAGGGGATGCCTGGGGGTGCATGGGGGGGTCCCGAAGCAGCCGTTGCGCTTCCTCGGACAGGGGCCTGCGGAGCGGGGCTGAGCGAGCGGGSCGGCAGCTGCCCGGAGYGGGAGCTGGAGCCGGAGCCAGGGCGCGCGCGGCCCTCGCGGCTCCTCACGGGCRGCCGCGCTTCCTTCCTGCCGCCCGGCCCGGCCCTGCTCATCGCGCCCTGGCCCCGCTCTGCCCTCCGGCAGCCTCCGGCTCTGGGGGCCGGGCCGAGAGCCCTCGGGGAGCCCCGGGCTCGCTGCGACCTGCGCCTCGCTGGCACCCGCAGTGCTGCGCTCCGC